TCCATGATCGAATTTTTTTTTGTAATCCATGATAGAATTTTTTGAAAATTTGTGATTTTTTTTTTAATCCATGATCGATTTTTTTGAAAATTTGTTAATTTTTTTTTTTAATCCATATTATTTAAAGAGAAAATGAGAGAGATGATGATTCTGAGGCCACCCTATCCCAGCCATATTATTCACATATCGAGTCCCAACAGCAACAGTATAGGGATGAGCACGAAATACTGTAAATTAAATGCTGAATGGCGATTCATGCAGGGAAAGAACATATCAATATTCGCATATTCATTCAAAAACATGAAAATTCTTAATGGAGTACCCTCATTTTTTATTGAATTCCTAAAAAACAATATTTATAATGAATTTTAATAATTTTTTCGAATTTTTTTTAAGCTTTATTCTGACCGATTCACCCGATTCCCGATCGGAATCGCCGATGCGCCGATCCGGATCAGTTTTTTAGAAGCCCGATCCGGGTCACCGATCCGTTTTTTAAACCATTGGAACTAGGGCGTATTCCATTAGGGACCGTGTAAGGTAGGAAAATTCTTTATTTCTTTGTTTTTTTTTGTCATGTCAATATTTTGAAAAGTGGGTTAATTGAGTTTGAATCTTGAATCTAAGTAAATCTAATTCCTTATTAAAAAAAAAATCTAATAATATGACTTACCACTGCTATGCCTTTGATAATGGTATTTGGAGTATGGTCTGTAGGGAAGGTGCCCTCCTTTACAGTGGCCACGAGCACATCCAAGAAATCGTTGCCGGCGCTCTTCTGCTGCTTTTTATCCTCTGCCCACCTTTCAAACGTCTCTCCTAATTCACTTGACACCCGTACCATTTCTCTCTTGTAGCCCCCAATCCCAGCCCACCTCAAGAATGGAAGCGAATCCGTGATGTCGAAAGTGGCGGCGAGTCGAAACAGCTCCTCGATCAGTTGCTGAAAGCGCCTTGCCTCACCGCCCTCGACACCGACTCCTGTGCCGTAGTACCGCTTCCCGGCCACCATCCTGGTGACAACATTCAATGTCAAGTCCTCCAGCTTCTGCTTCATGTCCACTGTTATATTTCCATCTTTCCTGTCCAGAGACCACTGATTATACAACTCCCCCACGCACATATCGACCTCGGAGACACGCACATGCTTTAGAAGCTCTAGGCGGCGGGCCGAAAAGAGCTCTAGAGTGGCAATCTTACGCGACTCCCGCCAGTATGGCCCATAGGGAGCGAACCCCAGCATGGCTTTGTTGTAGGCTAAGTGCTCCGAGGCTGGGTTGTCTGGGCGGGTCGCGAAGACCCGGTCGTTAGTAGTGAAGCATTCCTTGGCAAATTCCCAGCTACTCACAACCAGCGTCAATCGTGATCCGAGGCGGAGGGTTAGAACAGGGCCATATTTCTCTGCGAGAGCAGCCAATGTTCGGTGCGGGAGTGCAGAGCCCGCGAGCAGTGGCAAATGCCCGAGAACCGGCCATTTGCCTTTCGGTTCCGGCGCTTCATTTTTTAATTTTTTCTTTCCGGATACAATCAGGAGGCGATGGACGAAGAAGATGACAACCATTGCAAGGAGGACTTGCAGGAGGTTAAGATACTCCATGGTGGTCCTATTCAGCACGAAAGCAAGATTTTGATGGGGGATTAAGTGATTTGTAGTTTGTATTTAGTTACCTGAATTTATAAGCAAGGGAGGATGCTGAAGCATGTCGGTTACATGAAAAAGGAGAATGTTGAATATGTCTGCATGAGACTATTTTTAAACTAAAGTCTTCTCTTCAAGTTTTTGGTATTAATAAGCTATCAATTAAACAATTTGACCTGGTTTTTTTAATGGTTCTTGAATCTTTGAAAATCTAAAAGAAAAAGACTATCAGAATTAAAAATGGTTTAGTTTGTACTTTTATTAGATTTTCCATGTGAATCATTGATCTACAAAGGACCACCATGAAGTATTGTCAAAGTTTGAGATGACAAACCTTTGTTGTCATCTTCTTCTTCATGGTGGTCCTTTGAAGTATTCCGAAAACCCATGAAAATATTGTCAAAGTTTGAGATGCCAAATATTTGATTGCATGTTATGAGGATGGATCGGTTACAAACCAATTAGAGGCTTTATGATAGATTTCTTACATACATTTATGTCATGCCTCAAAAACCGTCTCAAAATGATTCAACTTAACATACGTTGTTTTCTTTTAAATTACTCATTTAAGTGGCCATTATATACTTGTTTTAACCTTCCATTAAAGATGGGGATTTCTCATTTTTGTTACGAAGGAGGAATCCACAAATGAAGCACAAGTTGTATTTTCCAAGCAAGTAAATCTAGGCATCGGACGATTAATTTTATCTAGAATAGACGATCCTAAATACAAAATATAGATATTCTTGATAAAATTATTTTTGTTAGTTGTTAATACAAATATTATTTTGATTTTTTTTGTTTATTTTCTATTTTTTTTTGTTAGTAAGGTAGTGCCCCAAGCTTTAAGGCACTGCCCTACTAACGAAAACAATTTAAAAAAACAAAAAAACAAAAAAAAAATTCAAAATTAGGGATTGACTGAAGAGAAATTTTGAAAAAAAACAAAAAAAGTTAACCAACCTTCTTTGTAATTTTTACATATAAGTGGAGCATTTCATATTTTAACTGAAATTTTAAGGTCCGTACGTAAATCACTCGTTTTATCGTTAATAGTGCAGCGCCCAAACTAGAAAGCAGTTTGAGATTGACATCTCGGAATGCATTATTTCTTAGTAAACAAAGGAGCTAATGCAGTCCGAGGATACCAACCTTAGACCTTCATAAAAAGCACGAGAGAAGGCAATCCAAGAATGGGCAGCTTGGACCGCCTCTTAATGTTTAACAATGTCAGTCTTTGCAGCCTAAGGTTGCCAACCTCGGACCGTTGTGAAGAGCACCACAAAAGGTGATCTGATGATGCTAAACTCGAACTAACCAGGCATTGCCCTAAACATTAAGGAACAACACTACTATCAAAAAACTTCAAAAAAAATAAAATAAAATGCAGTTCAAGGACTGAAGGGTTATTTTTAAAAAAATAAAAAACCTAAGGTTGACGTACATTATGCGGAATTTAAATGCAAAATTAACTCATTTCGTACTTTAGCATTTTTTTGTGTATACGCAAGTAATTCACTCTAAAATATAACGTACTCCAGTTGCATCCATCTGAAAAATAAAGAGTCATTGCGAGAGAGGACATGAGCCACTGGTGGCATCACGGACATAGGGATGCTGCGGAGAGCTGCCAGTAAATGAAGAATTCCATTGTACGAAAAGTTCTTAGCATTTTAGAAAGAGATTGAATGACGCTATCCTATTGAATGAAAAAGTTTTTTGTTTCTTTAGAGAAAATATGGTAAGGAGCTCCAATTTTTAAACTGATTCGAACTTTTCTCTGGCATTAAAGTTCCCCTAAAACTATTAATGTACCCTTTTTATCATTTCCCTCTTCTCTTTTTTCACATTTTACATAAACTTGGACATTAACAATTTTCTTATACTACGTGAGGTAAAAAGGGATGGGAGGATGGTGTCCTTATGTGGTATAAGAGAAATTATTAATATCAAATTTCATGTAGAAAAGTGAGAAACAAAAGGTAAAGAGGGGACCAAGGGGTTGATTGTTCCGCAAACAATTTAATACTCCTTGAACGAGACAAATTGAGAGGGGCTATCGTAAAATAATTTTAGAAATTGAGGGTTCTAGTCATTATAAAAAAAAAAAATTGACGATCCTAGTGATATTTTTTACTTTTTCATTGTCAACTCAAAACTCTAGACTCCCTATGGTGGGAACTGAAATTCCAAATACTCATGTGCCTAGACCTAATAAAATTCAGAAACTTTAAAATACAACAACTTTCACCCTAACTACCTCTGCCTTGACCCAATAAAATTCTAAAATTCTAAAATTCTAAAATTCTAAAATTCTAAAATACGACGACTTTGAACCTGATCACATCTCCCTAGTCCTAGTAAAATTAATTCAGATATCCATTGTCCAGCTATCACCACTGCATCACATTTTCATCAGAGATGAGAAGATATAATGTGTGACCTATTTGCCTTAGGCTCCATCTCAATAATGTCCATTACTTTAAGGGTGTGGTTTCCATAAGGTTGTAACCTTAAACAATCCAATTAAGGTGCACCTCCAAATTTTATTATAATATATAATTTTGATGTAAAATTGTCTTAGAATTATCTCAAAATCTATTTTTATATCTAATTACAAAATTTTAATTTCCAAAAATGGTTAAATCAAGTAGAACTATAAACATATGAAAGTCTTGAAAATGGACGGTGTAGATAATATGTTGTAAGATGCACTATTTATGAGACTCAAAATCTGTTTATTTTTCATAGTCATATGTCTAGATGTCGAGATGATCAATCACAGAGTTTTTCAACATTAAAATAACATTTTCCGATAGATTTTTGAGGTGCATCCATTGTTCTACATTTTAAGGTTGTAACCTTATATAAACTTTTTCCTTACTTTAATACTAAAACGTATGCTAGACCAAAATCAGCATGCTTCCTTTCAAGGTCAATGATATCATCACCATAAACAAATCCCCATTTGTTTAACGAATGAGATTGATCCATAAGTCAGCACTACAAATTTAAAACTATAGATAGATCCTGACGAAAACATTATTATACAAATATCATCTCTAGCCATTAGATGTGAAATCGGTCAATTAGAAATGCGTTAAAAAGTTTGAAACTTTTTTCTTTTATTTAACTACATTAATTGCACATTTTCAACCACCCACATGCAATGGTCAGGATGAGGAGCGAAGGTAGACAAGTTGCAACAAAGGTAAACAATCTTCCAATATTACTCTCTTGTTCTATTCTTAGCATGTACTCTCTTTCCGGGTACCTTTTGCAAATGCAACGTCAAATTTGGACAAAGAACTTAAATGCCAATATGTTGCCATCGTTGAAATGAGAAGCAAATAATTGAATGGTGAATGGGGTTTCGAGTTGTCCGCGTCGTATGTATGTATGCAGCCCTTCTCTCGAATCCATTTCAGTGATAGATTTTTAGAAAAATTACAAAAAAACCTTAAAAATATATTTTTTATGTAAAAAAATTGTAATAAAAAATAAAAATAAAAAAAGACTTAATCTACCCTCCTTTACTTTTATTTTACTCACGCCTCTCTCTGTTCTATCCCATCAAAATAGGGGCCTCTGGTACCGTGTAAATGCGGTCCGAAAGTAGCACTCTGGTACTATGAAAAGTTTGGTCCGGTAATAAGGCTCCAGCACTGTGTAAAGTACAACCTGACTGTAGAGCTTCGACACTGTATAAAGCAATTGAAAAGTGCGGTCCGATAGTTGGGAAGTGCGGTCCGACAGTTGGAGGGTGGAAAAGGCAGTATAGAGAAAAGGTATTTCCATCTAGAAAATGAACTTTTTCCCTATAAATATATGTATATAAAGTTTGTTTGTGCGAAAAATATGAAAAAAAAAATTAAGTTGTGGATAAGTTACATGAAAACTCTATCTAAAAAATATATTTATTAATGAGCGTGTATTTCTTCATATGCCGACTTGGCCGGATGGATCTTTGTAACGGACCCGGTTTCCATGCAGCCAAACCTGCGTATCCCCAATCCGCATCGATGATATTTCTACACTTTCGAATTCTATTGACGATTAAGTTTTGGAAGTTGGGTTTATCGAAGACATGTAGTGCAGAAACCCCTCACTCTAAAGTCTAAACATTAAATGCTACGACTTGCACTGTGTGATGTGATGTGACGACACGATACATTGTCGTATACGGCCAAATGGAATCGGATTTATCTATAATTCTTTTGCATTTCCGGTGAAGTTCGCGTATGGTTACAATTTTAAATAATTAAAGGAATACACATCCAAACTTTAACTTTGTCTATGACGTAATTTTTGTTGTCGAAAACTTTTAAGATGATTCAAAATTTTATTTTTATATTTAATTATAAAATTTTGAACAGTCTAAATGGTTAAAATCTAAAAAGTTCTATAGACACTTGAAAATCTAAAAAATGACGGTCTAAATAATGTGGTGCAAGATCCACAATGTTTTAAACTTGAAATCTTTTTTTTATTTTTTATTTTTTAAAATAAATGACGGTCTAAATAATGTGTTGCAAGATCCACAATGTTTTAAACTTGAAATCTTTTTCTTATTCTTTATTTTTTAAAATGAATACAACTCGATGTCAAGATGATTGATTAGATAGTTTATAATGTCAAAATAACCTTTTTTGATAGAGCTTTGAGGTGCTCCTTAATTCAAAATTTAAAACGTCAACCTTATATAAACTTTTTCCTTATTTAATTATGGGAAATGATTAGATAGGGTTGCAGCCCTATCAAAATAAGTAAATCATCACCTCATAACTCATCAAAAAATATAATTCAAGTGTTGAATTTATGGTTGTGAAAAAAAACTAGAATTTCAAGTCATAAAAATATTGTATATTGCAAGAAATCATCTAGAGCACTGATTTCACCCTAAAAATAAGTGTTAACATATATGCAAGATCGGTACTTTTTTTTTAGTTTCAAATGTTATAGTGTTGGAAATTGATTTTAGAGCTTTTATGAAGATTTTTTATGCCCAAAGTGTATTTCGGAAGAGGATTTAAGATGTGGCTTTATTTTGTTTTCATAAAGCCTAGGCCCTATAAAGAAACTTCATCCTTTAATAAACTTCATCCTTTAATTATCATCCTATTATAGCTAGGTTTCCTATCACTTTATTATAAAAAATATTAGAAGATGTCTTTCCTAGAACTTAAAAACTAAGTCATTGATACTCGTTCAAAGTGGACGGTGATTTGCGATTTCTTTATCGAACACTCTTTTGGCAATATGAACGTATAATTTAAAGAATTTGGCATATACAATCGTGCTGAGTTTTACCCGTGTAAATGTTCTTATGATATTATTCTTCTGAACCTTAAATACTGTGTAATTTGAAAATAAAATACATTTCAACACCATGTTCGAAATGTGTCTAAATTTAATTCTTAATTAAATGCGATTAATAGAAAAATGCAAATGGGATTGAGTTTCTTTGTTAAGAAATTAAAGCAACTACAATGTGGAAAAATTGACACTATTGGAAAAACTATGTAAGAACTGAAAAACAAAATACAGGATTACCACATCCTCCATATCTTTCCTAATTTTACCCGCAATCTTAACTTTTTGGTAGTGATTCTTATTTCAGTTTTTCTCCCCATTGGATGTAAATATTTTTTGTTTATATGGAGTAGCTTAATATTTCTAACATCAAACCGCCCCATACCTGCCGTAGATTGAGACTTAGGATAGTTTGATGTTGCAAATGTCCAACCGTGCCAAATGTGGAATGGTTTGATTTCTAGGCATCGTATTACCCTAGAGGTAAAAAAAAACAATTAAAAAAAAAAAATTGTATTTTGTAAGATCATTAACTTTTAATACAAGGAGGTCACAATCATTATTAACCATTAGACATGAATCCGATAGATCGAAGTGTGTCACAACTTTCATGAAATTTTATTTTTGATTTTGTGACAGATCAATGACACATCTCCAATCACTAGATCTCATATCTAACGGTTAATAATACTTGTGACATCCTTATACTAGCAGTAAATAGTCTTATAGTATACATTTCCATTAAAAAAACAAAAGGTCCACTATTGCCAATACGAGATGACTAACGTCAAGGTAAGTCCCTAATGAGTACGATGCTTAGTATGGCGGAGTGTTCAACAAACCGGTGAGTCGACCCTAAACCGCCCGAATCGACTCAAAATTGGTAGGCAGTGTTTGATGAATCGGACCAAACTCAAAACTGGCAAAAGGTTCAATCCAATTAACCGTTAAACCGACCGATTCACTCGACTTAACCTGGTAGGCCCTGGCCGATCAAATTCAAAAACTATGAAAAGTATATTTAAAGCATAATTAAACAAAGTAAACCCAAATGAAGTTGAAAAATTAGTGAAAATTTGATTTTTAATAATGGATTTGTGCCTAGGAGTATTTTCGAAAATTTCCAAAAAACGATAGAAAAATGTATAAATAAGTATTCATAGCCATAATACTCTCCAATATATGGAAAATGGTAAAATAAAAAAAAATTACAAAAAGATCCCTTGTTTTTTGTGGTTTACTATTTTTTTGAAAAAAATGTAAAATATTGGTCCGAACCACCTATATAGGCAAAAACTGGATCGGCCAGCGCTCTGTTCCAGTTGACTGCCCAGTTCTGAGTTGGACCGGCCAACTTTGCGAACACTAGCGGTGGGGTAACCAGTTGATTCTCACATGGAATTGGGAAAGTCTTCCTAAACCCCGACTTCATGCAAAAACAAGGAAAATTAGAAAAATATTCATGTATGTTTGGGGAATTATTTTTAGGAAAATGTTTATATAAGGTTGCAACCTTAAAATGTAGAATTAAGGTGTACATAAAAAATCCATGATAATAGGCTATTTTGATATTAGAAAAACCTCTAATTGATCATTTTCGACATCGAGATGTATAAATATAAAAATAAAAATGATTTTCGAGTCCAAAAATAGTGCACCTTACAACACATTATTTGGACTGTCCATTTTCAAATATGTTTATAGATCTACTTTATTTGAAGCATTTTTGAAATTTAAGATTTTATAATTAAAGATAAAAATAGATTCTCAAGCCATCCTAATAATTTTACACAAAATATTACATCTATAATCAAATTTAGAGGTGTGCCTTACTTTGATTGTTTAAAGATGCAACCTTATACAAACCACTCCCTTTATTCTTTATCAAATATTTGCCCAAATCGATTGATTTGAACACACATCAATAAAAAAGTTGATCCAGAACAATTTTAATGTCATGAAATTTTTTATGAGATTTTTATACAAAATCTCATGACATATTGGCTCGTAAAAATTCAAGCCCCTTCTTTGATTTTCTCCCTCAAATCCTAATGAAACGACTTAAATTTCATTTTAAATTCTTCGTTTTCATCCCAACAGAAAAGCCATATTCTGCCCGTAGAAGGAACCTAGTGTCGAAGTTTCGGGATTTTTTTAACTTGGAATTGGAAAAGTGAATGTTTAATTCAGTTTTTCACCAAAATCGCTAAATTTTGACCCAACATGTTCCTATCATATGGATCTATAAATTCCCTAAGAATATTTCTAAATCAAAGCAAAAAACTAGTCAACATCGATTTGTTAGTTTTTTCTTCTTTTTTTTCCTCGATTTTTTCCCAAAATGATTCTTTATTCTTTTTTTTATTATTATTTTATTTTTCCATTTGCAGCTCTTTCGAGATGAAATCGAATTTTAGCTTTTGATTTTATCATCTTATGAACTTTTTTTCTATATTATTTTTTTTGTCATTTTCAATCATTTTTTGGCTATTTTCCCATGGTTTTACCTTCTTCTTTTTTGTTACCCAAGCCAACTCGTCGACTAAGACCGCCAAGGGCCTTGATTCCGCTAACCCAGCCAAATTTTTTAAACACTCATTTGGGCATTGGTATTGTATATTAATGGCAAGTTTGGTTCGCGTGAAAATGTTTCATTTGAAAAAATTATCTCATGCAGACAAGTATGGAAATATTTTCATGTCAATTGGTCTAAGTACACCTTTTCATGCTAATTGGTAACTAATTGATGAAAGAATATTCTAGCATTCGACCACATGAGAGAATTTGTTAATGTAAAAATATTTTCTAGAAAACATTTCACGTGAACCGTGCTTAAGGACGAAAAGAAAAATATGGAATACTGAATCGGGCCATATCAAGATTTTTCGATCTTAAATTGCGAGGCTTCTTATCTAGCTTAAAGCCCGAGTTCCTGTTCGTAAAGGCCATTTTTATAGGATAAGAGACGAGATTATGAGCTTTATACAAATTATATGGGAGTCTTTTTCACACCAACAAGGGTAGTTTTCTTGACATGAAACTAGTTAGTCACCTAGTCAAACGGACATGGAAAAATATATTGTGCTCCCTAGTAAGCATATTGTTATCATGCTTTGATAAGCTTCAATCGTTCGTCCATCAGCTGTTGGATGCTGGATGGTTCCTAAGACGCATGCACAGTAACATTCTCTTGTTTTTTTGTGTGAATGGTGCACACTAATAATATGCACCATAGCATAACATAAACACCTAGAGGAAGTCTCATTGAAGCAAGAGACTCAATGTTATAAAATGTAACTGTTGAAAGGATTTCAAGAATTGATCACTAATCATTGCTCATAAAGAACTTTTATCATATTATTAGAAGTGATGCTGCCTCTAATACAAATCCATAGAAAAACAATGGTAAAAAAAAAAAGAGGAGTATAAGCACCTAACAGGGTAATGTATCAAGAACTAACGGTGGATGCTCCATGTATGACATTGTACACCACACGCAATGTTCTACATGGTATGTTTTCCTTTTTTAAAAAGAAAAAAAGGTCGAATTTCCATTAATGGTATAGCTCCACCGGGAGGCGAGGTTTCAGGGTCACTTCCAGAGGGCCATCCTTACGAAGTGTCAGTCCGAAATTTTCGCTCATATCGAGCTTCTCCCCCGTCAGAGTGTCCCACTCGAACGCCTGCAACAGGCGTGCGAGTGTAAGATGCATGACATGAAGAGCCAGCGAAACCCCCGGGCACGACCGCCTCCCAGCGCCAAATGGTATGTACTCAAAATGCTTTCCATAGACATCAACATGTGCCTTAGTAGTCAGGAACCTCTCTGGCTTGAACTCCTCTGCATCTTCCCATGCACTTGGGTCTCTGTGTATTTTCCATGCATTCACAAGGAGGCGAGTGCCGGCCCGCACCTTGAACCCCCCGATGGTGCAGTTCTCCATGGCCTCGTGGGGCACTAGGAGCGGTCCAGCCGGGTAGAGGCGCATGGTCTCCTTAATCACTGCATTTAAGTATGTGAGGTGTTTGATATCAGCCTCTTCGACAATCCGGTCCCTTCCTACGTGGAGGTCCAGCTCGGCCTGGACCTTCTCGAGGACGCGGCGGTTGTTGACTAGTGCTGCGAGCGCCCATGTCATCGTTGCTGCTGAGGTGTCAGTGCCTGCCATTATTATATTCTGCACAAAAAAACCATGAACGTCTCTTAGGCTTTGTCTTAAACTAATACAAATTAGTAATTTTTCACCTTCTAGAAGAAGTTTGGAAGCTGCTTGTTTATGTGTTATTCACAACTATAATACAAGTACTTATGACGACTCAGGGTAACGGATCACCCGAGTCAGATCAGATCGGGATGGTTAGATAACGATTATGGTTTTAAAATCCCCAAAGTTGTTTTAATCTCTAATTATAACTTATATTTTTAAATATAAAGAAGGGAAAAGATCATGTCGGTCTATGAATGAAATAGTATAAGCATAATGTTTTAAATTGAATCTGGGCTGATCTAACGGTCATAACTGCATTTTGTATGTGAATTTCAATAATTTTTATATAAATCCAAATCATATGAAATTTAAGACTTCAAATTTTTCACCAAGGCGCATCTAAAAATATTAAAAATAAAATACAAAATACAATTGTGACCATTGGATTGGCCTAGATTCAACTTCGGCCATTAAACATTTACTTTAATTGTCAGCAAACGAGTTGATCTCAGACTATCCGTATTATTAAATATAGACCGACCCGGAATTGCTTAGAGTCGAACTAAAACCAGACTTGGGCAAGTATTTTTGAAACACACATTAAAAACCAATTAGCCCTTTGAAGTTTGTCCATAAAACAAAAAACCCTAAATTACTTGCCAAGAAAATTGACCCAAATGAGTCCTTTGAAGTTTGTCAATAAAACAAAAAGCCCTAACCAACTTGCCATTGTTTAGAAAATTAACCCAAATGAAATTTTTTCTTTTGTACCAATTTTGAAAAAATCACCTGCTAATTGCTTGGTAAAAACCTATCTAATCAATAGCCTTAAAATAAACCAAGAAATAATAACACTATACTTACCCAATAAATAAATTTATATGAAAAGAAACAAATTATCAGCCCATTACTTAACTGCTATTCGCTATCTTTATCCATTACTCTGAAGACATAAAAAAAATCTCAGGCTTACCATTGTGATTCCTTTGATAATCGTATTAGGGGTATGTGCCGTAGGAAAATTCCCCTCCTTCACAGTTTCCATCAACACGTCCAAGAAATCATGACCGTTGCTTTTCTCGTGCCGACGGTCCTCGACCCAGCTCTCAAACATCTCCCCCAATTCCCTCGCTACCCTCTCCATCTCCCCCTTATATCCACCTATCCCTACCCACCTCAAAAACGGGATCGCGTCCGTTATATCAAAAACCGCCGCCAACCTGAAAAGCTCCTCGATGAGCCGCTGAAAACGCCTCGCCTCCCCCTCCTCGGCCCCCGTTACCGTTCCAGTCCCGTAATAACGCTTTCCCGAAACCATACGTGTCACCACGTTGAACGTCAGATCCTCGAGCCTCTGTTTCATCTCCACCGTCGCTTTCTCCCCCTTATTCTCAGCCCAGCGCCCGTAGAGCTCCTGGACGCACAAATCAACCTCTGACACGCGCACATGCTTGAGCAGCTCGAGCCGTCGATGAGACAGCAACTCGAGGGTGGCGATTTTGCGGGATTCGCGCCAGTGGGGTCCATAAGGCGCGAACCCGAGCATGGCTCGGTTGTAGGCCAGGTGGGTCGAAGCGGGGTTATCGGGTCGAGTCGCGAGGACTCTGTCGTTTGTGGCCAGACACTCTTTGGCGAGGTCTGAGTCGCTTACTATTAGAGTAGGGCGGGAGCCGAGTCTCAGTGTTATCGCCGAGCCGTAGCGGTCGGCTAGGTCTGAAAGGGTTCGGTGAGGTAGGGCGGAGTTGGCCAAGAGAGGAAGGTGGCCGAGTATTGGCCATGAGCCGGGCGGTTGGGGTGCCTCTTGCTTTTGTTTTCTTTTCTGGGGGAGGGTCCATAGGTGGTGGATGAATATTGTCGCCACCACCCCTACTAGGATTTTGAGGAGAGTGAGAGAATCCATTTGAGAGAGAGAGAGTGGGGACGAGAAAAGTAGAGATAGAAAGAGGGCACTGAGAGAGAGAATGGGTGTGCTCAAGAGAAATAGAACGTTAGCGAGAGAGATAGAGAGGAGTTAAAAAGTGAAGAGCTAGAGAGAAAGAAAATGGGTATGAGGAACAAAAATATTAGATAGAAAGGATTTAGGTAGAGAGCAAGAGAGAGAAGGTATGGCAAGTACAAAGCTAGAGAGAGAGAGAGAGAACACTATGGGTGGTGGTGTGGTAACGTAAGGGCGGGCTTTTATAGGCATTTGATGAGAGGGTTTAGGCCTTCCTCGCTTCCGAGAAGGTGAAGGGGCTTCATAACGAGGACGTAAGGCGCGGAGTTGTTTGATGCGGACTGTTGACTTGAATTCAACGAGAAATTCGGAAAGTTTACGTTGTCCTCCTCTTTTGAAAGTTTTATTCATTTTAGGTCAGTTTTTCCCTCCTTCGACAAATAATAGTGAACATGGACTTAGGAGAAGAGTGCAGCTCGTGAGTGAAAGAAATAACCAGATCATTTCGGGTAGCTTTTTTCAACAATTCAAAAACAAATATTTATGTTTTTGCGTTATGGAAAAATGATTCTTTCACTTTACAGAAAAAATCTATTTTATTTTTCAAAATTAAAAAAGGGTGAGGTTTATATAACTACTTTACAAGTATGATGCACCTCCAAATTTAAAGATCCAAAAATAGAATAGACTTATCAGATTTATAAACACTTAGGAATCTTGAAAATAGATAGTTCGGATAACTTTCTACTTTTAGGACTTGAAAAGTTTTTTTTTTTTACATGCATACATCCCGAGGTCGAGATACTTAATTGGAAGGTTTTCCCACTTTGAAACACCTTTTTCCGGTGGATTTTTTATATGCACCTGACTTCAATGTTATAAGGTTGTAATGAAGTCCCACTTTTGAAGCATAAAGTTAAGCTCAAATTTTGTATATCCACATTTCTCACCATATATATATATATAATAATCTTAAATAAATAAAAATTATTTACTATTGTTTATTATTTTTTAAAGAGTAGTGATCATATAAGACCCTCTTCCATTCATGTGTGTAAGACTTTAAAAGATCACCATTAAATTTGGCACGGATCTCTAAACAAGTTATCACTTAGGTGTGAGACTTGACTTTTTTCGAGATCCGTACCAAATTTAATAGTGATCTTTTAAGGTCATACACATATGGGTGGGAGAGGGTCCTATAAGATCATTTCTCTTTTTTAAATATGTGATGGTGAAAAATAGAGATGTATCAAATTTGAGCTTGATCTAATATATGAAAACAAAAAATAAATTAAAACATATTTTATACTATCAAAAAGTGGAAATATATGATATTATTTTTAAATTTGAAAACCAAAATATGACATTTCTATAAATCTCCCATGTTTCTAATATACTACGAAGGTTATATACTGCACGCCTGTATTGAAACACAATTAGTAGCTAGTAGTCCTCCATCACTAAGATGGGCGGTGAAGATGAAATATAGTTGAGAAGTAGTTTTAGCATTGAGAAAGTACATACAATGGAATTGATTGGTGAAGGTTAGTGATTGGACGAGAATTAATATTGAGAGTAGAACTCAAGACATCGCCACAAAACCAACCACCTGGTTTGTGTTTCCTTTTAGGGATTTTTTATGTGCAATTTTTTATTTTTTTATGGATACGAGACTACTTCAAGACCCACTTTCAAATCATGCTAAATTAATCAAAATAATCTAAAAATCAATTATTCATATTAAATTAATACCATATATGATCTTGCATTTTTTATTGCACTTCAATAATTAAATCAAGAAGAATTTAGGACAATATTAAATAGTTAATATATTTCATTTCCAGATAATTAAAAACATCTTATACCTGCCGGCGAATGCTGTCCATTTATTACCTCAGGTAAAAGACATATAGGAGTGATTTTAGTTCCCCAAATTTCGGGGACGTACTCTCTACAACCATAGACGAGCCTTAGTAGATAAAATTCACGAATTGAACTCTCTATACACTAGGAAAATATAATATCTTAAGATTGAGCAGAGACCTTCCAATTTTTGAAGGAAAATATGTTAGTGTCAAAAAATTCAAATTTCATTTTCTTTTTTAAAATAATCATCAAGTAAATTTTAAATAATTCCAAAAATTTTAGACTGAAAATAATAATAAAAAATTCCCAAATAGGAGTTTTGACTATGGAGTAGATGTGCAGTGATGTTGTTTTCTCAATAAATTCTTAAAGTGTAACATGAACGGTTTCTATACTTCCCGTACATTATAGAATATCTATGCTTCCCCTACTATCCAGCCGTTCAATTTTGATCAAGTGAGTCACTCACCATTTGATCTTAGATCCGACGCCTCAAAGTATTTTATTTTTAGTTTTTTAATACAAATTATATGAATAGGAAATTTGGTACATGCCATCTTCTCATTGGGGCACACACCTATAAAAATTATTAAAATTAATTTTCAATAGAATAGAATGGCGAAAATACCACTTGAAACATTCAAAGGTATTTTGGTTATTTTATTTTATTGAGAATATTATTTTTATGATTTTTACAAGTGCGAGTTTATTAGAAGATTAGACGTCTAAAATTTGGTGTCAAAATATTTTATATATAAAAATTATAAATAATATAGTATAAAGACGTGACAATATAATGGAGGCAGTTTTTACCCTCCATTCAAAATAGAAGTGGTTGGATACATATAAGTTTTCTATTGTAAGGGAAGCATAGAAAAAGTTCAAAACAGACTGAAAATAATAATAATAAAATTATTATTTTAAGTTTTTTGAGAAGAAGCTTTTGTTATGTTAATACTCCCCTGACTACCCCACTCACCAATATATCAACTTCCTTTATTGAAGAGAAGCACATGTTCTTGTCCCGTTCCTAATATTTTAGGAAATTAATTTCTTATATTTGTCACTTTTCGCTTCTATATAATATAATTAATCTTTCCTAAAGGCGAAGCCGCCGAGATATTGGAATAATCGCGTTGCGCGATAACTTCTTGTGTTCCTTCCACATGTGCCGTAGCCGCCAGGAGCTGTTTACGGCCAACAACCAAGGAGAGAGAGCGGGAGACTTTTCGAGTCGAAACAAACTTGGATTATTGTAATAAGAGAAATTCGTCAAAACGTACTTAAAATATTAATATTCGCAATTTTATCGTTATATGACTTCAAAACCCACAAAATTGGAATAGAGAAAAATTATAAAATGTTAGATAGTTGAAAAGTAAGATGTATTTTGACAAGTAACCCATATTTTTATAACTATAAAATCTTATAAAAATAATTGACACCCATGTATTTTAAGAAAGCTCTTTTGTACTCAGTGTGAAACATTGTCGGAGAGCGAGTCTTTTGAATTCAACTCCAAAAAAAGCTCTTTTGTACTCAGTGTGAAACAATGTTGGAGAGCGAGTCTTTTGAATTCAACTCCAAAGACAATGTTGGAGAGTGAATCTTTTGAATTCAACTCCAAAGAATGAGAGTGAGAGAGAGATCATATTCAAACTTTAAAATCAAGATTAGGGAGAAAGAAAGAGAGAGAGCCCTCATTTAAACTTTAAAATCAAGATTTGAAAGAGAGAGAGAGAGAGAGAGTTTTCTTATTCAAACTTGAAAGTGAAGGTGCTAAACATACTTTGTCCAATTCTTACTAGGGAAGTTGGGTCCGAATGGACCTTGTGGCTCTTTGAAGTTGTTAAATGGCGGAAGAGACACTAGGGTTTCTAGATGGTAAAAAGGACGCCGCCCCTTCTTTTTGAAAAGATCCCTCACGACTTTATACCATTTTGTTTCTATTACCAAGGGGAGTTATTGTAAGAACACGTACCCTATTTTCTTACGGGAGGATAGTTTAATTCTATTCCCTCAGAGTCAGAATAAAGCGTAATTTATGTTCAAACATGAATTATTTATATAAAATATAAAATTAGGTCAATGTGGCCGAAAAATATATTGAAGGTTGGTCAACTTTTATTTTTTATTTATTTTAAAATTATCTTTCGATTCGAAAATGTCATTTTCAGATCGATTTTTTTAAATATTATTTAAAATAGTTTTCGGATCTAAATTACTAATTACTATTCTCATTCTTTGAAAAAGAAAATATTTGACATTTAATATTTTTAACATTTAAATCTCACCCTTTAAAAATTAGATAGTCTCTATTCAATCTCGAATTTTTTTTTTTTTTTTTTGAGATCAATTTATGAATTTAAAACGTTGCATCTCCAAAAATTTAAGGCCCTAAAACTAATGGTAAGTAAACTTTGAACTGAGAAGAATATATCTTCTCTTATTGATTGACATGGGTAATATTAGTAAATGTAAAATCACGTGTCATTTATTTTCTGTCCCCATCTGCCACCGACATCCCGTGACATATTCACAGCGACTTCCTCAACTACCACACCTCGTCGTTTTCAATTCTAGAAGTTGGGATTTTTAATTTAAATATTGTTATTTTATTATTTTTATATTTATATTGAGGCATGAGCCCAATACACAAACGCTCCAAGTCCAAAAAAACGCTCTTTATATTTTTATATTTTTAATTTTTAATTTCTTAATTATGAAATTTTTAGATTTTTGTGGGGGTCTTAGGGTATCATTAATCTTGTTATTTTTATGTGGAAAATTTTAAACTTCTTATTTTTAAAATAATATAAAAGTAAGATGCACCCCAAAAATAATAAGAAAAAAAGTTGTGATGCTCCTCAATCATGTAAACCTCAATAGAGAGAGAATGATCACTTTTTAGACGCTCTATACGTGTTTTTTTCTGTCTGTCTCTCCTCTCGGGCTTCTCATAGTTGTAAGGAAAAGATGACCCAACGTTCATCTTTCTCCAACGAGTCTATGAAAAAAAGTATCCCCTAATCTCATGGATACTCATCCAACTTACCCATATGAACGTTAAAAAATAGTTTTATAAAATAAATAATTATTAGACTTTTATGAATGTATAAGTATAATAAAACATGATATTCTTCCCACAAAAGTAGTGAAGCCTACAATTGTAGGATGTGGTGCCTCATGACCACGTGTCAACATCTCCCACTTGATCATGATGGCCAAGTATAATGATAAGTCAAAGGCACACTCCTACGTTTAAGTATGACTTTTAAGACAATATTTTATCATGAGGTTTTTCTCACGCTTTCACGGATAAACATCTCACAACAAATATCCATAAAGAGGATTTT